TCTAATATAATGACATATTATTGTATTTTTCCAAACATCTATAATATTATTCCATGTTTGTGGATCATGTGCTGTAATATTTAAAATTTGTGTTTTATGTTCTGATTGAAATTCTATTTTCTTTTCTAATGGTCTTTCACTACCTCTTGCTATATATTTTTTCTCTTCTGAATTATAAAAAGGATAAGCTCCTATTGGGTGGAAAACCTCATCCATAAACAAGTGTTTCATGTTTAACAATCTTATCAAATGGTGTTTCATCAAACACCATTGATCCCAATGACCTTCATGTTTAGCAGATTGTCGAAGGTGCAAGTGCAGCTCAAAAAGGCTAGATCAAAGCTAGCCCAAATCCAAGGGAGAGACCCTACAGCCATTGATCCCAATAACCTTCGACAATCTGCTGAAGAGGTACAAACCTGGATGGATAGGGAAGAATTATGTGGAAACAACGGTCCAGAGCTGCTTGGCTTGAGGAAGGATACCAGAATACACGTTATTTTCACGCTAAAGCTTCCTACGGAAATAAACAGAACCAGATCACTAAACTCCTAGATGATCAAGATTGCTGGCAGGAAGGAGAAGATTGCAACCGCCTTATCCTCAACACTTTTCCGACTTGTTCTCCTCTGTAGGCTCCAAAAACCAAGATGTTATTCTGGAAAAAATGGACTGCAAATTGCCTCCAAATATGAACAATGACCTGATCAGGCCTTTTATAGCATCTGAAGTCTCCCAAGCCCTGAAGGAGATGCACCCAACAAAAGCTCTAGGACTGGATGGTATGCCCCCTATTTTTTTTCAAAGATTTTGGCCTCGTATTGGTTCTTCTGTCACTAATGCTGTATTACACGCTTTAAATACAAGTGAATTTCCCTCTTATATCAATCACACTTTTATTATACTTGTACCTAAGACTGAGAATCCACAGAGGGTGAAGGATCTCAGGCCTATAAGCCTTTGTAATGTCCTTTATAAATTGATTTCAAAAGTGTTAGCTAATCGGATAAAATCAGTGCTACCTGTAGTAATTTCAGAAACACGGTCATCATTTATTAAAGAACGACTCATCATGGAAATGTGCTTGTGGCCTACGAAGTGCTCCACTTCTTGAGAAGGAAGAAGAAAGGCAAGAAAGGCTTCATGTCTCTTAAGCTCGACATGAGCAAAGCATACGATAGAGTTGAGTGGTCTTTTCTGAAAACGGTCATGCACAAATTGGGCTTCCATGAAAAGTTTGTTCGGTGATGAAATGTGTTACTACTCCCTCCTTTTCAATTCTTATCAATGGTTCTCCTACTAGACGCATAATTCCCTTAAGGAGTTTGAGGCAAGGAGATCCCACTTCTCCCTATCTATTCCTTTTGTGTACTGAGGGATTAATCTGCCTACTCAATGAAGCGGGAAGGAATAATCATGTGGCTGATATTTAGGTGAGTAGAGGTGCCCCACGTTTAAATGATCTCATCTTCGCAAATGATAGCCTGTATTCTGTGAAGCTAATAAAGGAACGACCACCCAGCTACAATCTCTCCTGAGTATTTATGAAGATACCTCAGGCCAACAACTAAACAGGGATAAAACGTCAATGGTGTTCAGCAAAAATGTAAGCCCAGAACAGCAGCAAGCACTCATGAATATGTGGAATGCTCCTCAAGTGCAGCAATATGACAAATACCTTCGATTACAGCCTATGATTGGCATATCAAAGACTCGAGCTTTCTCTGATATTAAACGCAAAGTGTGGCAGAAATTGCAAGGATGGAAGAGTGGTATGTTCTCCCAAGGCGGTAGAGAAGTCCTCCTCAAATCAGTGGCTCTACCGATTCCCTTCTACTCTATGAGTTGCTTTAAGGTCCCCCCCCCCCCCCCCCCACATTATGCAATGAAATTGAAAATATGATGGCTAGATTCTGGTGGGGCCAAAAGAAGGACGAGAGGAAAATTCATTGGAAGTCTTCGAAAAGTATATGTCACTCAAAATCCATGGGGGGCATGGGTTTTAAGGAGCTTGAGTTCTTCAATATGGCCATGTTGGGTAAACAAGCTTGGAGGCTCTTGCAACACAAGGATAGCTTGATCCATAAAGTCTACTTGGCTCGTTATTTCTCTGATGGCAGTTTTTTAAAAGCTTTCACAGGTGGTAACCCCTCTTATGCGTGGCGTGGAATATGGGAGGTAAAAAATCTATTACTACAAAGGAAAAGATGGGTAGTAGGAAATGGAAACACCATACGCATTCGGATGATAAATGGATACCTCAAATGAGAGAGCTGAGCAAGGAACTGGAAACTGATATCCAACAAGATCATCGTCAGTAGTTTGATGGCCTAGTGTCTTCATTGATTGACCCTAATTACGGTGGTGGAAGTTGACAAAGCTTAAAACTCTATTCAATCCAAAAATTATTGAGGCTATTTTGAAATTACACCCCAGCCATTTAGGAGAACAGGATTTCTGGCTCTGGGAACATGAAAAAAGTGGAATTTATTCTGTCAGTAGTGCATATAAGTTCTTTAGAACCTGTCTAACTCCTGATTATGGAAACTCATCTACTGCCGCCGAGAAGAGAAAATTTTGGGATACTATGTGACGACTAAAGTTTCCCCAAAAAGTTAAAATCTTTGCTTGGAGGGCTTGTCATGAGGATTTACCTTCAAAACAGAACCTAATTCGAAGAAGAATCCGTATTGCTACCCAATGTTGTTTTTGTACTAACCAAGTGGAAAACCTATGCCATGCTCTGCTTTACTACCCCTCTATCCACCAAATCCTCACTAGTAGGTTCCCAGTGCTGCAGAGCAAGGATTATCAAGGAGGATTCATGCAAGCTGCTGTTGACATAATGATTAAGGACTTAAAGAATGCTCTCTCAGAATTTTTGCTGATTACCTGGGCTTTTTGGTTCCGTCGCAACAAGATGGTTCATGAGCAACTCAACCTCCCATCACAACAAGTAATTGCTATTGCTCTAGCAAAGCAACATGTTGCTGAACCAGGTCCTTTCCTCTACTTTGCTCCCGGCATGCTCCCTCGAAAATGTAGGTGGTCTGCACCACCTGAAAATGCATTAAAACTCAATAT